TACCCAGTTGCTCTTAATGAAATTCTATATGTATTTTGATCTTGAAAATTCATTTTTACTTACCAGTTTCTTTAAGGATCATTTAAACATGGGTTCTTTACTTTTGTTTATATTCTGCAGTGACCAGACTTCTGTTTTTATCTAAGGGGCTAATAGGAAAAGGCAGAGAAAAGGAGGAAAATCCCTCTTACACATTGCCATGATGCCCATTTCTGTGGAAACCAAAGGTTCCACTAGGGAAAGCCTCCTGATTACAGAGAGCTAGAGTTGTTGTGGAGATGCGTGTTGTGGCAGATGATACTGGAGGAAAGATGAGCTCAGGTCCCTACAACATCTAAAATGCACACAGCATTAAAGCACATAGTGGTTTTCTTTCTTCAAATAGTAGAACACATTGTCCTCATCATCAGTGAAATTACTAAAACCATGGTAAATTGCAGAGATCCAGCTCATGATTCACAAACACAAGTATTACAACAGTGAGCAATTGAATCAAAGGGAAATTGGCATTGTCTCTTTAGATGTGTAATCAAACAAGGCTCCTCATGGCATTAAAGGTCATTGGAATTGGTGACATCATATTCTACAAATATGAACCAATTTGAATTGAAATAGGAAAATAAGGGAATTAATTTTCTTGGAATGCACTTCAATTTTCTCTGTTCTGAGCAAAATCTCCACTGGATTCAATCTAACTGCACAAAAAAGGTTAACCCTTGCCTGTCTGTTGAAAGGATGTGATTTGCTTATGTATATGCCAGTGACCTCTACCTTTCTGATATCCAATGGGAAATATTCTGTAGAAATACCTTTATTATGGATCTGATTAAGCTCAGTAAATTCTGCCAGTGTTTGCCTTAAGTGTTTAGATGTGGCTGCTCTGAACACAGTGGGAAAGACTGTAAGAAGAAAGTGAGTAAGCCATGTCATTCCAAGCCTGACAACAATGCAAAATGTTTGCAATCTGTTCCCTGTGTTTTTTCACACATATATATATATTTATATAGATATATAAGTAGGTGCTCAAAAGAATATAGACATCCTCTGTTCAGCTGGTTTAATCATGATATTTTAACATGAGTGCAGACTATAATCCACAGGTCTTTACAGGTCGCTGGCACCCACATTTACTTCACTAGGGAAGCTGATGGGAAATCACTCTGAATTACAAAAAAACCCAATGCTTTCCTAATATCTATCTGTGTGAACGGTTACAATGTAACACATGGGCTAAGCATTCACCTGCACAGTTGCTTTCATTGCAAAAGCAGCAGTATAGGCCAGCAGCAATTCTCTAACTGGGCAGTAGATGTGTTAGTTGCTCACAACTGCTGATAGAAGCAACCAGGAAAAACAGCAAAAGAACAAAATCCATGCTTCTTTGCTTCTCAATTCCTTTGAGTCGACCCTTTTTCTTCATAGGTCCCATGATCATCACTGTGGGGAGTCAGTTCAGACCAGAGGTCTAATGCAGCTTGGAGGCTGATAGCAGAAGACTGATAAAAGTAGGAATATTGGCATTAAGTTCGAGTTTTGTTAGGGTTTTGTCGGGGTTTTGTTTTTTTTTTTTTTTTTTATGCTGGTTCTCATTTCAGCTTCAGCTAATGGGGAACCATATCAGTTCCCCAGCGGAGAGTTCATTAAACTTTGCTAGAAGGAAGGCTCCTGTTAACACACTTGGCAATAATGATATTTACTTAGTACAAGTACAAACACAGAGAAATTCTGTGGGGCCAGTGCTCTCAGAACCTCAGATTCCTAGTTTAAGGTGTATTTTATGCCACTAACTCATTCCTGGCCTTTTCCCACCAAATACAGTGGAGATTCCATCTATAATCTCACTATATGCAAGATTAGTCTCTCCATTTACCTGTAAGTGTTTTTTAATGAACTCTCTGCCTACAGCCCCATTGTCTTCAGTGGGGATCACATGGAGCATACCTGCAATATAGTACTGTTGCAAATAATCAGTGCTGGCCAACACAGGTCAATTGCCCTCATTATGACTGCAGCTCACAAAATGAAAGCAGCATCCTAAATTTGAAGCAAGTGAGAGCAGAATAGGAGCAGATAGAAGAAATCTCTTTGAACAGATCCCTGTTGCAGCAGTTACCCATCTGACGGGAATGTTACTTCATTAAGCAGGAAATTCATCAAGGCTATCGTCCTCTGAGTTCTATATCATAATTGAAATAGCTGTAGAGGTATTTCTTTTGCTATCTGATAGATCTGCTTTTATATCTGCTGACAGGAATTCAGCTAGAATTAATAGCTGTAAATGTAGAATGTACAAAAGAAGCATAGCTCCACACAGTGCACTAATTTCTTCATTACTCTTCAAGCACCTTAAGGATAAATGACATTGAATGCTAAGATTCTGAAATGTGTTAAACACCCCTATAACTCTCCCAGGCATCGCTGATTTCACTAACAAGTTATGTTAATTGCCCTATGCGCAAAGAGGACCAGATGTCTCGGTACTGAAGGTTACAAACATTCAATAGTACTAAGGTACCTCACTCATTTTAGGCACATTACTTCTCAAAATATGATTTTAGCCCATGGAATTAATCTCTCTAGGATTCTGAAACCAAATGTTATCATAAAGCCTGGATTTAATTTTGTTTTTATTAAAGCCATGTCAAAGTTAGAACTAGCATTTATGTTTATTTGTACCTACCCAGGAAAGATAATGAAGTATTATTATGTATAGCCAAAAAAAATCACAATGACTCACATAACTTCTGCAGACAGATTATATTATTTATTTCTTCTCTTAATGTTAGTAGCACACATAATAAATCTGTCCTTTTTTTTCTTCTTTTCTTCCCCTCTTCCCTCCCGCTCTCCCTTTCTACCCACAAACCATATTTTTTGTAGATTTTACACATTCTTCTCTGCTGTCCTACATTTCTATAGGATTCATTTTTTAGTTACCTATTTTCTGTTCAAATCCACCAAAAGCTTAACTAGTATCTCAAGCTGGTCAAAACATTGGGAAAAAAATGAGGAAAAATTATCCATGTTTAAAAAACTCTGTCCAGACCTATTGAGTGCATATGTCTGTAAACAAGGAACTAAAATACATTCCATGAAATATATTATCTGAACTATCACACTACTGATTCTGAAGTACTTGGAAGTACAAATGTTTTCTACGAATATAGCTGTGAGAATCTAAAAACACAGAAATATCAAAGATTTATATTTCTGTATGGCTTCTCTTTCTAATACAATACTATTAACATGGTCCTTCATCAGAAAAGTCTTATGTTCTTTAAAAAGGACTAGTTGTGCCCACAGTATGTGGAAGCTGTTACAGTGGTAAGATCTGTAACTAGATTAAGATAATTATCTGGAAAAAAATGAGTAGTTGTTTTGACTAGAAGTCATCACCATTCACAATGATTTTGTTATAAACAAGGGTCTGTCTAGACAGTCACAGCATAGTCACTGAAGGATCTCCTTGAAGAACATCTCTTTTTGGTACATAATTGAAAAGAATATTTATGTTCAGATGTGGGAATCTTGGGCTTTAGTTATGAATTTGCATACATGAAATTATATCTTCTTGGGTAATTTCTAAGAGGTGGTAAATGTTAAGAAAGGAAAATGTGCTTGTAAGCACAACACTGCAAGCCACAGCAGAGCTTGAATGAGTTGGGCTCTCACATGTACAGTCTTTTTAATTTTAATACACTTACACAACATTTCAACTCAAACAAAACCATTCATACATACCAGTGATTTTAAGGACTGTCTTTCACTGTCATTCAGAGAAAATTTTCATTTCTTAAGCACCTGTTCAGCTTTATCCTTACAAAATATGATTAGGCTAATACATACTGATACATTAGTATATATTAGAAAAAATCCAAGTAGTGATATAAAAGGATAAATGAAACCTTTTTTAAACACATTTTCCCCCCTCCACTGAGAAAAGGCAAGGTCTTCAGCCCAAGTTACAGTGAGAGCAATAAGTTATTTACTGTTCAACTTCTTCCTGCAAGATGGGACTTTTTCCTTTAATTTCCCTGCTTTACTCCATTTCAGGAGCTTGCAAGTTACATGAAACCTACATTTAGAAATAATCATTATCTGTCAGGTCACTATGATTTCTAAAGGATAATGTCTTGTCTTGGTTGAGGGCAGGAGCCTCCCTTGCAATGAAAATGTAGACTCCCTCCCTCCGAATTATTATAATTCTGAAATCAAGGGGCTCTCAGGCAGAGATCTGTGAATAGGAATAACAGTTCTTTACTAGTATGTGTAACAAGGCACACAAACAGCAATAACTACAGCATTAACAACAGAACAGAACCAGGGGCCCCGTGACAGCTTTCTCGGCTGAGACGGGAAGGGATGGAGGAGAGGCTTTGTTTCACAAACCCCTCGGGCGGGCAGTCCCGGTGCTCCTGCAGGGCTCTGAGGAACAGCCGGCTGGAACAGCAGGGATGAGCTGAGATCCTGGGCCGGTGACTGAGGTGTATCAGCAGGGATGAGCTGAGATCCTGGGCCGGTGACTGAGGTGTATCAGCAGGGATGAGCTGAGATCCTGGGCCGGTGGCTGAGGTGTATCAGCAGGGATGAGCTGAGATCCTGGGCTGGTGGCTGAGGTGTATCAGCAGGGATGAGCTGAGATCCTGGGCCGGTGGATGAGGTGTATCAGCAGGGATGAGCTGAGATCCTGGGCCGGTGGCTGAGGTGGATCAACAGCTCCGCGGCGGTGCCTGGCACTGCCACACGTCCCGGCAAGACAGGGGGTGCAAGGTCACCAACGAAGAACAAGAGGAAGCAGCAGCAGCTCTGTCTGGGTGATGGCAAATTCCCTTCTCCTAGCCGCAACAGCTCTGAGAGAGTGTTTCGCTCTCCAGCCCAAGAAGCCATCCAGCCCCCAGCTGCCCCTTCCCTCCCCCTCCCCTACC